ATCCTCGAACATTGGTGCTTACATACTTTTCCCTGTGCGAAGGGTGCGGCATGAGGCCGAGAGACTTCTTAACCCCGTCCTGAGTGAGCACACAGGCAACTCTCAGCAGCAGATCAACCCGACTCTGGCACCAAGTCAGCTCCAGCCCATCGAGCCTCGCACCCAGACCCAGCAGTGGAACAGGCTGCCTCCTCCCTGTCACAAGCACACCTTGGAGGACGACCGACCTGCTGTCTGCGAAGAAGCTGCAGGCGAACAGGTCCGGCACTCATTCCGGTGTATCACATCTGCTTGCTGTGGTGAACGATTGCTGGCTTTATCCTGCATTGTGCAAAGGGTCACAAGGTGCAGTGCTAGCGACAGTACATGCCTACTTGGGTTCCGATGCTCCTTAGTGTGTAGGCGAGTTGGGAGCATGCGGTTCTGGGTGTTCACCTCAGTTTTTGTTGCAGCGGAGTGCATGTTACTGCGTGGGCCAGAGAAGGCCCCTTTTGCGTCGATCATGTATTTGCATTAGACAGCCAGTCATGCTTGGGTTGAGATGAGGTGGAAATGGGAACTTTGAAGCAGCCGCCACCGCAGGCTGATAATTTTCCCTGTCTTCTTTGGAGGGAAGCTTCCAGAGTCCTTGAGTTTGCTTTGCAGGGTGGGAAATCGTGATGTCTAGGATCAGCGATGGAGTGTCAGTAATGGAAGCACGTCTTGCACGGTTCAAACTCAGCCACCGCTTGCCAAAGAAGAACGTGCTGGATATCCGACTGCAATTTGCCTGGCGGACCAAATCTGTTAAGCCTTTGGTACTGGAGGCCCGCAACCCTACATACCCAGTCCCAGATGTTCAATCCAACCCTACCCAGATGTGATGAGGATCTGTTCTTCCTTAGAAGCTCGCAATCCCTATATGAGATTGCACACGATCGAATGTTCAGCTTCTCAGTCTTTAGCAGTCACCCTTTCAGACTCCGCCTTCCGCAGGTCGACTTTAGACCGGTGCCTCAGGCAGGGAGGTGACATGGGCTGGGTGCCATCTGCAAGACGTGGCAGACGGCTCTTCTGGTCTTGAAGTGAGCATCTCTCGTTTTGACGTATTCGCAAAAGCCGCAACAATTGGAGCTAGTTGATTCTTGGATGACTGGTGCAACCTGCAGGGAAGTGTTTGCGCTCCCACTCTAGCGCGAAAATGCAGCTCGCCTGTCTTGCAGGCAGAATATGAAATACGCCAATGTCTCAGCATCACGGCTGTCCCCAACCTTAGACAAACCACGCACGCCATTTTTTCATGGAACATCCAGATTGAGTCCGTCCCTGAGGCATGGTGGTGAAAAATGTGACAAACATCACGCAGTTCAAGGACGCTGATCCGATCTCTTGAGCATTCAGGATTTATTGGCATGCCTTCTCCCAACTACACCACGTGAGGACTTTGGTGAGAGCCTCTTGGCTGACTCCAAGCGCTTGCATGCGAGAATCGTTGTTTCCCGCTAGCCTGCAGTTGCTGTTGTCGGTTGCTTGATAGTTGTGTGTTGTGTTTTGCCTTGGGCAAATTGAATTAGAATCGCTGATCTATACATGCATGCTTGCTCAAATTGCTTTGCCCTGCGCTCTTCGCCACAGTGATGTTTGGCAGGGAACGACGTGAGGGTTGTGGCCCACATCCACATGGCCACACAAGGCGTGGAGATGGTACAGACTTGCGGGCCTATGTACTGGCGCTTGAGGAATGACTTTTTGCTAGCTGGCCTTAGCGGCCAACAGTTCTTGTGAAGTGGAACGTCTCAGGATGTGCCGGGTCGAGGGTGCAGGGTGACCGTGATTAACATTGGCATCATCGTCTATTTGTAGCAGCACAAGACTGTCAACAAATGCCTGCTTTTGGCAGCTGTGTGCACAAGGGCCGCATTTAGGCAATGCGGTCAAAATGCAGCAGTAAGGGTGAGTGGCTGGTGGGTGCCTCTTGTCGGGATTTAGGATTCTGCAATGATGCGGTCCGTGGCAAGTCCACACGTGGAAGAGTTAACATGCGCGTTCGTCTCCCTACCCTGCATAGTCCTCATCGTCTCGAGCTTTTGCATGTTCAGGCCAAGAGCCCATTTCCTTGAAGCTGAAGACAGACGTCCACAAGTATGCTGGCTTCTCATTGTAACAATGCGCAGACCTTGCAGAAGAATATGCAAGCATCCCCGCGCGAGGCCCGCTACACTGCTTCATTCAACTGGCAATGGGTCGAGCACCTGGCTTCATCCTGTTCTGTTTTGTTGATCATGCTCCAGATTTTGACGCCATGTCTTGCAAGCGAATCAGGCATTCCGAGTCAGAGCTCCTCTGAAGTACTGCTACGCCACTTTCAGTTTGATCGACGAGGACAGTTCTTGATAGCCCATTAGACCGAAATGACACTGAAGACCATGCAGTTGTGTCGATGTTCAGGACACTTTGACCGACGCAGACCTCATGTATGCCCCGAAGGCAGGGCATGCATGCCGGCGGTCCATGGAGACCCTTGGAATCCTTTCATTGAATCATCATCTTGTACGTGGGCACATCACTGGAAACACCCCGATTGGGACTGCTCCGCATCCAGGCGCTACCTTTGGAGTACTTGGTGATGTATGCGCGGAAAGCTCAGCTCAGCTGTGCTAATTAGACCTACCAAAAGTTACTCGTATCAGAAGTCCCTGAAGAAGCGAGGCATTTGAAACAGCAAGACGGTGAAGAACTTCCTGGTCCTGTTGCGAAGCAGGTTGGATGCAGCTTGACAGATCTGGCGGCAACTCAATTGACATCCTTCTACAGGTAGTCTTCGATGCCGAGTCTGGTCAGAAGGCTTTAGAGATGGCCTGGACCTGAGAGTCCCAAATTGCAAGCTTGCGGTTTGATTGAACATCGCCATACCGTCCTAAACTGAAAACTGCTACGATCAGGAAGATCCGGACCTCAAGAAAATCGAGAGATGCACCAGGCAAGCCGATGAAGCCAAGAAGAGAGCGCATCAAATGCGGGGAGACATGCCTTCACAGCTTTCTAATCACAATGCCGTTGTACGGACACTTGGAAAGGTGCTGTCGAGGCTACTGCGAGCGCCTGCTCGCACGCTTGCGAACCTGCTTGTTCTACTGCTGCTTCTGCTGCTGCTGTTGCCGGAGAAGGGAGAAAGGGCAAGTGGAGCCCGCATATCTCAACTTGCAGGCGCGGGGCACGCACGGCATGCAAATCCGCGTGTGCACTTGTTCGTATGTGCTGACCTTTGGTTAGGTGGAGATTGTCACCGCCGAGCATGCGGGCTTCCACCCGATTCAGAAGGATTCCGTCATTTTTTCTATGGGGTTGCAGTTTTTGGTACTACTAGGACCTTAGTAGGAAAGGCTTCAACATAGAGTCATAATAAAAAGGGTAAGCCACCATGTCAATTTCAGGTAGCCATCAACAAATAACTTCTGGTTGGAGGACCATCAGCTCAGCCCACCAGATGATCGGATAGACAACTGGAAGGCACTGTCGAGCCCACTGAGGCCGGACGTATGACAGCAGTTGTTTCAGAATATTTCTGGGCTTCCTGAGTCGCTGGTTCGCAGCAGAAAGAATGCTTTTACGCTTTCAATGCACATGTGACAGATGCCTGGAGAAAACGCTATCCTGTTTACATAGCCATGAGCGTTTGGCGCATTCTTGCTACATGGTGAAGGCTTCTAAAAGGTCTTTTTCTTTTGCGTGCTGGGGCTTAGCTTGAGACAAATGCAAGTGGCTCCCAAGGTTCTTCTACAACTACTTGGGACCGAAGAATTACTTCTTCCTCAGAAGGACCTTGTCATTTGCACGGGTTTGTCCAGGGTTTCTGGAAGAGTTCCCACCAATGCCAGAGATGCCACAGCATCATTACACTACTCACCGCTGAAGATGTGTCGTTGCCTGAATGTCGAGCGAGCAGATATTTTGCCGGCATAGGATGGATGAAACCGCCTTGCAGCGTCAGTGCGTTGGGCAGGGCTTTTCGTATTGCAGAGATGCCTGTGCAGGAGTGTTCTTTGTGCAGTCTTTTTCCTGAGCTTTTTGGTGATCATTGCGTCTTGGCAGGTTTAAGATGGCTTTTCCTGTCTGCATACAACTCGCCTCCCGACCTGTGGGTAGACTTTCGTGACAGTGACATGGTCAGGCTTGTTTCTACCTCCTGCTCCAGATTGTAATGCCTGGGATTGAAATCTACGATCGAGTCACGCTCGGCGCGCCCGTCAACGGTGGCGTGTGCTGCTTGACTCGGTCATGCAGGGCTTGGATTTTTTTCACTCTTTCTGTGCAGTGGTGGAACTTTCACAGTACAAAGTGTGCAGCAGTAGACTTCTTTCTGGCATTCTCTTGAGCTGAGGAATGGCATGCGACGGTAGCTCAGCCAAAGGTTTGCTGCCTCTGAGGATCTCCGTCCTGTAGTACTAGGACCGGCAGTCGGAAGATGTTCGATTCGCCTTCGGACCTGCTCGACAAAGACACGAGGGTCCAAATTCAAGTAATCATTTAACATGCGAGTCCCCAATGCTGGGACAGCGACAGAAGGATTCACATCGGGTGAGAGCTCATGCATAATGAGCAACAAGCTGCTTCAATTATGTGAATCCTTAATATCCGGCTAGCCAAAGCTGCTAGCTTGTTTGCTGCAAATCTGCAGCAACTTGCAAAGATCAACAGAGAAAATTAAGTGATATTATGTTGGCACTGGTCACAACTTGCATGGTGTGTAGACGTCGAAGCGCATTCAGCCAGTGCAGCAGTAGAGAGGCGAGAAGGCAGCATAAAGATCTTCGAGCAAGATGCCACACGAACTCTTCCAACCGTGACAGATCAACTGCTGCTCTTGAGCGGGGATGTTTAGCTTTGGGCAGCTCGGTTGCAGAGCTGATAGACTATGTAAATGCGAATCCTGGTTTTGCATTCTCACAGTTTAGTGTCAGCCGCTGCTTGTCAGTGTGGAAGCCACGACACAGCGTAGGTTTGGCATCTCATGATTCGGCATGCCACGGTTTAAGACCAGCGATGTGGTCGACTCCGAGACGCAGTAGGAAGCTCAGTGCGAAAGCCGTGTATCCAGGGCCTGCTAATATTATCTTTGTGATCAGAGGCAATGCACCTTTGCAGATCTTTCCCTGTCTGCGCCCTTGCTGTACTGGTCTCAGTTTCGATAGCTTGCTGTGCAAATTGAAAGCATGTGGGCCACGAGGCAGGCTTTGCAGGAGATGGGCTGTGAGCATCCATCGCCTGCAGCTTCCTCAACTTCTGAGAATCCTGAGGTGTTCTTAGTCATTTTCCTTGAAGCTAGTTTCTGGACAGGTGCAGCTGCGCACAATCCCACAGGCACTGGCAGGAGGCGATGTCATTGTGCAGGCCAAGTCTGGCACAGGCAGGGCATACTCAGTCGGCCGAGAAAACAGATTTACTAGAAATGGACAGGCAAGACAATCGCTTTTTGCTCGGTAGTGCTGGAAGGCCAGTGCCACCATGCTAGCCCCTGACACAGCCATCATTCGCCCAGCCGAGGCGTGAACACATCTAGCTCAGGGACATCACAGGCTGCCTTGCGCATGAAGTCGCTGTGAGTGTGCCTTTGCATGCATACCATGTCCGATGAACATGTTCATCACGAGACTCACAGATTATTACAGATTATTTTAGAAGATGGACTTAGAAGGAGAGCAGGAGAGATGCTGCGCACAGCAATTGTCATGGCTGAGCTAGGCTTGTACAATTGGACCGGCTGTGTTGAAGCCAGGCTATCGTACTTGCACCCACCCGTGAGATCGCCATGCAGGCTCGGGCCATTCTTCCCTGTCTGAAGTGGAAGATTTTGCTTCTTGTTGTCCGACCCGAGATTGCTGACGAGTTACGCAGACTTGGATGGACGGCGCCTTGGGCGTGATGCCATGTCTCACAGTTGGCAGACACTCTCACCTGGCGGTTGCATTTGAAGGTATATGGTGCCAGTCTTGGATGCTTGCCGCTCAGGTAACTCTTGTGCTTGTATGATTCGCATACCCTTGGCATCTGGAAGGTTGCCTGCTTCATTGGGGGTGTGCCGGTGGAAGAAGATGAGGCCTTGTGCTCAAAGTCTAGCAGCAACATGCCATGAAGGGTGTGAAAGTGACAGGAGAGGCTTGAGTCCAAGGGTGCGCCCCACATTGCAGCCCGAAGCCCGGGCTGATTCCGAAAGAAGCCGCAACTATTAAAGATATCAGGCAAACTTTTCGTATGACTCCGCCTGAGAAGAGCTTATTCCTTTGTAGGTCGTATTTTGATGTTACGCAGGCACCAGCGTTGAGCTCTTCACAGATTCACCTTCTGAATTCGGGTCTACCTTCCTCCTCATGCTCACCTCATCGAACCAGCCCTAGGTTGGTACTCCCGGACGCATGCTAAAGCTTCTCAGGGAGGGCTCTCTCCTGACAGATGCGTGGATGCCTTGGATAGAGGATGTATAATTTGGAAGTTGTGCTGTCTTTGCAAAATCGCCGCCCTCAGCATCTGGAAGGCGCTTCCTGGTGCTCGATGAGGCAGACAAGCTGCTGGACACGAACTTCCGGCATCTGCCTCAGGCGGTTTCTGCAAAAAGCACACGCGCACTTGAAGCCACAGTGTCCTGCTAGGGTCCAGCAAAGGAAACGGGTCAGACTTGCAATGCCTATTGCAAAAGCCTTTTTCGCTTGCATACGAAAGTGAACCTCCTCGGCGCACACAAAGCATGTACAGAGTGGAATTCACGCACATGATGTCTTGACACTGGGAGGAGAAACTCCATTCCGCAGCGTTGAGCCAAGCGTGTGTCCCGCGGTGTGGGGTTTTGTCCTCTGCCGGGGCTTTGCCTTTGCCGCCATGGCCCCGAAGAAGGCCCGGCCACCACTGAAGCCGAAGGGAGAGCCCAGTGTTGGCCAGCTGTGCAATGCTGTGCATGCATTGCATCCGCATGCGTGGATCTCGTAAAGGCCAAAGCAGAGGCGAAGAAATCCCAGCCGAAAGCCAAGGCAGGAGCTGCCAAGTGAGCCTTCCTAGCCCGCGCCAACCTTTCAAAGAATTCGTTTGTCAGCTTCCCTGCCTGAACTCTTCAATGTGCTTGGGCTCTATTCTGTCCAACAGGCTAAGGGTGCTGCAGCTCCTAAGACGGAAGAGCCTGCAAAAGATGAGGAAACTGAAATGAAGGAAGAAGAACCACCAAAAGAAGAGGTCAAGGAAGAGAAGCCCAAGGAGGACAGCTTGACTCAGTCCTTTAGGCCGCATCACTTGAAATCCCCAGATGAGCCCTGCATGCAGGAGACGCAGGTCAAGCAAGATGCCGAACCGGAGGTGACGGCAGGGGACGCCCTACAAGAAACGGCGCAGGAGGAAAGAATTTACAGGGAACACGGGGTAACGCCTTCCATCCCTTGTTAATTCACATGCCCCTGCAGCGTCACTCCAATTAGCATTGGCTGACCTAAGCTTCGCTGAGATGCCGCCAGTTTGCTGCGGTCCTGAAATATGTCAGGACATTCAGATGGAAGACAAAGATAAGGAAATGGAGCTAGATGCTCCCAAAGACAACAGAACAAAAGTTAAAGCAGGCTCGCTGGGAGTTTATGGCCCCCCCTCACTCTTCATCTCATGTCCTTATCGACTTGCCGTATGGTGCAGCAAGGCGACGTGAAGTTGAACTTCGGTGATGCGACTCTGAACGCCATGCCTGTCTGCGGTGGAAAGGTGCTAATGGCGCTTACTGAGGGGGGCATGCAGTATTTGTTGGCGTCAGCACGATGCAGTGCCGGCATCAAGTCTGGTCGATACATGTTCGAGGTCAGGATCCTGGAAACTTTGACCCCATGCGAAACGCAAGGATCTTTCCGAGTTTCGGGGCCGCGCAATGTGGTCCGAATAGGATTCTCGCTTGCTGGATCTTCGCTGTTCTTGGGTGATGGAGAAAGCAGCAACTTTTGCTTCGACTCCGAGGGCTACTTCCTGCATGGTTGGGACAGGAAGAAAATTTCACAGAAGTTTGTCCGAGATCAAACGGTGGCCATTCTTCTGAACCTAGACTCCTCAATGCCGAACGCCAACACAGTGACCTGCCTTCTATGCAGCAAGCTTTGTTCAGTCCAAGTTCCAATCCTTATGCAATCACGTTTGGCAATTCTGAGAAGCGACGGGACCTGAATTGGAGGCGAGCCTCTTCATCAATGGAAGCCGCGTTACCGAACCGCAGCCACTTCCAGAAAGCCTTGTGGGAAAGACGCTGTACCCCACAGTGACCTACAAGAATGTGAAGCTCAGCTCAAGATTGAAATTCAAGAAACAGGAGCGAGAACTGTAAGCATGCAAGTACGAATTGCAGTGTCTGATGCTAGAGTGACAGCCACATTTCCAAAAGACTCATGCCTCCAACTTCTGAAGGCAACGCCAGCTCAGGTCTATGGAGGTGAACTTCGGTCCATCTCCTCGCGCTCCCCTACCGTTTTCTTGCAACATGGTGGCTGCTGCTGCCGTCGAAGATCTAGAGATCCCAGTGGTAGCAAAGCGGCAGGACGGCAAGGGCGAGCTGGTGCTGCCGGTGGGGCTACCGGATACAGGATATTTCGACTGGGTTGACAAATTCTTGACCGAAAATCCTGACTTCGTGGAGCTCAGCGACCGACAAATCCTAGCCGCTGCGCCAGCATGTTAGCCACGAGCCGAATGTTGTTGATTTTTTCTGGAATGTCTTTCGTGAATCTTCCATCTGTTGTGGCATGAACAGGACTGGGCCTCGAAGAGTGGAATCTGGAAGGCGCGAAGTTCAGCTGGCGGGTCAAGCGACAAGCCAGAAGCCAACACTGGCGTTCCTGCCATTGATGATTGGAGTGTGAGCCGGGTGATTGCGGCAGTGGCGCCTACTCTGCCGCGCAAGTACATCATTCCTGAGATGAAAGCCAATCTAGTCAAGTCCGACCGAGACGAGGCGCTCTTGCGGTTTACCGCCGCAGATTTCCACCGCAAGGCTATTGTGATCATGGGGGAGCCTGATCAGAAATACAAAGAGTGGATCCAGAAATTAATGCTGGAGGACAAGCAGGCTCAGGTAGAGGCAGAGAAGCGGAGGAAGGCACAGGAGGCTGAGCGGAAGAAGCAGCAGGAGGAGCGCAAGCGAAAAGCGGAGGCTGCACGAAGAAGCTATGAGGCGGCGAAGCGCCGGCGGCTCGGGGAGGAGGTTGAGGAGACCGAGGAACCTCAGGAGCCTGAGGAAAAGCCAGAGGATGACGCTCCTGAACCTGAGGAGCCTGAAGCACCAGTCGAGCTAACGGAGGAGGAGAAGTCTCTCAAGTGCCGGCAGCCGGTTGTTGCCGACATGTCGGAGCGGGATTTGGCCAGATCTTACGCGAGCTTCGCGCTGCCCCAGAAGTCCGAGGGTCTTGACGAGGTGGCGTATGCCTGGGGCTCGGAGTCCAGCTGCTCAGCACTGCTGAAGTCCTGGATCATGGAGAAAAAGCAGACGCAACGTGCGGAAGACCTCACTCCAGGAGCCGACTTCAGGCAAGCTTGGACAGCCTGGCAAAAGGCTCTATCGGACTGGAGAAAGGCTCAGGCAGAATTCAAGGATCCTGGGAAGCGTCGGGCAGCCAAGGAGCACAAGATGGAGGAAGCAAAGCAAAAGATCGAAGAGGAAAAGCAAGCTCTGATCGACGCCGGCGACGAGGAAGGCGCCCGAGCCCTTGAGGAGAAGGCTGAGGCAGAGCTGAATGAGGAAGAGATCGACACAGAAAACCTTGATGCTATCTGGCTGCACAGCAGATCTGATCTCCTCCTCCTGAATCTGCATCGCTGAACCAATCAATCAATCAACCAACCTTGCAGCCATGCGTAATTGCCAAGCAAGATTTAATTTCGTAGCCATGTAAGTGCAGGGACGAGTTAGTATCTTTGCATCGTGTTGCTTTTCGGTTGGCTCACTTTGTCTTCGGACCATTCCAGGTCTTGACTGTGGAGGACATTAATGACATTGGGAACGGAGAGCCACTCTTTGCACAGTTCCAGTACGAAGACTGGGTCCTGCTCAGTACCAGGTACGAGCTGCACATGTTGGCTCATAGCTTCAAGAAGGATTTGAACGATCCTGACCGTCCAAGCTTTCACTTGAAGCATCTGGGCTTCTACTATCAGAAGTATTATAGAAAAGCCTGGAGTTTTCAGCAATTTGGCGTAAAAGAGTTCGAGGACCTCATAGAGTTGGTCAAGGACTCAGTCAGTGTTGATGCCAACGGCCATCTGAAGGCAGATGAGCCTGAGGATACGCCTTTAGAGCGCCTCGTGAAGCTGACGGAGGACAACCGGCGGGAGAGGCAAAGAAGGATAGACGCTGGCGATGAGACAGCCAGACTCAAGTTCTCCAGGCCGGCAGCGCCCCAAGCGCAACGAGGAAATGATCGAGGAGACGGAAAGGGAGGCTATGGTAAGGGTGGAAAGGGATCCTACGGGGGAGGTGGCGGCTCGGGATATGGTCAAAAGCGGCCGTACACACCGCCACCGGCTGCATACAAACCGAGATCTACTTATGGCGGAGGCGGAGGCGGCTCGTATGGAGGCGGCGGTGGCGGCGGTGGTGCCTATTCCGGCGGTGCAAGAGGCACTTACGGCCGATGATGCGGTCTTCACCTCAGCATCTCCTTTTCAAAAGGTGATGGGAATCCGCTAGCTAACGTGCGTAGCATTCGCTATGCGAGCGTGGACAACTGCCTCCGCTCCAAAAATGATGCTGCTGTGTGCTTTGGGTTTTGAATGGTTTTGACACATACTGCATTTGGATGCTTCTCATGCCCAGAGCCAGCTTCATGATTCTCAGCCCAGGCAAGACATCACAGCAATCACTGAGCTTGTCTTCACAAAGACCGGATCTCGTGCATCTCTCCTCGAGTAAGTTGCTACCGATCTTCTTGGGGAAGCTCAGGTCTCTCCAGTTCCTGGCAGTGTCTGCCACTTTTCCACCGCCGCTTGTTGCTCTTGCAGAAGATCTTTTCGTGCATGTATGCGACTGAGGATTTGGTAACTTAGTTTACCAAGCGCATGCTTTAGCTCGGAAGTTCATTAACAACTGGCCAAGAGGTGGAGAAGAAAAGGGCCACACGAGGGCAACCTGTGATGCGAGACTTGCCTAACAAGGCAACAGCTTGTTGGTTGATCTCAGAACAGCAGAGGGCCCATTCTGAAATCCGAACATGTTTAGCCTGTGTAGGTCTTTCTGTGCACGTCAGCTGTAAAGAAGGACAAGGCCGAACACTTCCAGAGAGATTGGCACGGCAGAGCCACAGCCTCACACTGCAGGATGGATTGAACATCATAGACGGAGGTGGGGAAGAGCCTGGAGATGTCGTCGAGACGGCTTTGCTCAAGGCCTGCAGCCATCAGCTGCAACGGATGCAAAGAGCTTTCTGGGCTTACAGCCGTTGCATTTCTCTTACCTGTGCTCAGGGAGTGCTGCACCTCCGCTACGTTCTACAAGGCGTGACTGCAATGCAGAAGCGACAGCTACTGTGCCTTGCTTCTCACAGGCTATCACGTGAGGCAGAAGGTGCCTGCACTGTTGGAAGTCCTCACGACGGCAGCCTACCAACAGGCCAACTTGTAGGCCATTTGGTTGCTTCAGCGCGGCAGAAGTTCAGAAGCGTGGGGCAGGCGTTTGTTTTCGTCGGAGATTCCAACAACGCCATCCAGATTGCAGAGCTGCTGAACCAGGTTTCACAGTAGTAATGTCTTACCGGACTGGAGACTGGAGGTGAGCTAAAACACGGCATCCTTACCAGGCTGGGGTCCCCGCAGCCGCCAGCACTGGCAAGCTGGACCAAGCGTGGCGGACACAGGTGCTGGAGCCAAAAGAGTGGCTGGGCAGGAGTGAGAGACGGCGAATTGCAGGCCTTCGCTGGACTCAAGCGCTTCCAGTATCGAGTCCTCGTCTGCACGGCCAGCTCCTCATGCCTCTTGTACAGGAGCATCACTCCTTCGCAAGCATACTCACACTTTTGTGGCTTTGGGGCAAAGGACTTGATGGCTCGTGGCATTGACGCCGAGAAAGTTGATGTAGTTGTAAACCTCGACCTGCCAGTGGAGAAGGACCCTGGATGATCCTAGCCTAGCCCATGTGCATTTTGATTGGTATATTATCTAGGGCTCTTTACTTTGCCCCCCTGTTCACGGAAACTTCATTTTCATATGAGCCACCATTCGGGGTGAGGTCGTAACCCAAATACAGGAACCATCATGCAAACCGGAACGCCTTAGACCGACCCGTGACCCCAGTTGCGGTTTAGGGTTTAAGGTTCAGGGTTGAGGCTTTAGGTTTGTACCTACCAGGACCTGCCAATTACAGTTAGGGGCTAAGTATCATTAACGTGGGCAATAATTGGAGTCACAAATAGAACCTACGCATTTATAGGTGGTACGGACCAATCAGGGGATAGATATTAGTAGGTGATCGCGGGTTGCAGGTAGACTCTACGTTGACGCTCAGCTCCACCACCTTTTAAAGGTCTCGCCCGAAGTGGTCAAGGCTGAGATTACCTGGCTGAGACATGAGTACCACTTGACCACAGGCAACACATGAGGTTCACAGGGGTCTCGGCGAGCCTCGCAGAACTATTCACGTGAGAGCAGGTTTTAGGGTCGAGGTTTTAGGTTGTAGGCTTGAGGGCCGGTAAGGCATTGTCTGCACCTGTGCACGCCTTGCACTGACGTTCCGCACCTCAGAAAACACATGCTTCCTCTTATAAGACGTTAAGTTTGTCTCTCCATATGTGAGTTTCTCCAACAGTGCTACCCTGAAGGCGGACTGTTGGGATCCTTGTTGCGGGCTACAAAGAGAAGTTTTCAGGAAACACCATTCTCTTCAAGTCATTATGCGACATACATTTCAGTCGAGAATCGCAGCAGGAGACCTACTTGCATCGGAGCGGCCGCACGGCCCGCTTTGGCTCTGTGGGCTGGATGGTTTCACTAGTGTTTGAGGGAGATGAGGCCGGAAGTCATGGAAGTTAGGATGAGTTGCCTCGAGCTGCACTGGTTTCAAGTGAGGCAGAGCATTTGCACTTCTTCCAGATGCAGCTTGGGTTTGAGCTTGCAGAGTATGCGGATCGGGAGGCCGCGGCTACCGGATTCAAATAGAGATGCTACGACCAGAATCTCTTCGCGAATTTGCTTTGAGGCAGCCATCCAGTCAAGGCTTGAAGCCTTGAGCCTTCCTCAGGCGGGTACATTCGCGCTGAATTCTCTGCATCAGCCAAGTTTTTGCCATGCCGCGAAGGATGCCCTGGGACCCAGCCAAATTGATGTTGTCCGGATCTGAGCTGACAACTTGTGCCAGGTGTTTGTGGAGAGCATGCGGTGCTGAAGCCTTATGATGACTCATGATTGGTACTTCTTCCGTACTAGCTGGTTGGGAGCAGGTCTAAGTCCCGCAAAGCAACACTTTCCCAGTTGTTGAGGAGCAGTTCCCGCAGCAGCCTTTCCCAACGCCTGGTGCACCAAGCAGTACAGGCCGGCTGAGCACGATGGAATTTCTCATCTCTCATCACTGCAAGTACGCGTGCTGAGCTTGCGATACAAATCAAATACGGGGGAGGTTGCAATTCATGGGCATTTGTGTGCGTTGCCAATACATCAAAGCACTTGAGTTGCAAAACGAGGTGACGAGCTTCACCCCGAGCAACAAGCAAGCAAGCAAGCAAGGATCAATGCTTCAGAGTCTAAAGGGACTGGACACGGTGGCTTTATGCTTTCAGATGTCTCCCAACTTTCGAATAAGAGTTTGCAAGAACGGCTTGCGTAGAGACCCACCCCTTGCTGGCAGGGGACAGATTGCCTAAGCAGAAGCGTGGAGGAGGCTCCCAGCTTCCAGAAGGCTCAGAAATTTGCAGATGGGGGATGTCAGAAGATCTTTGAAGATCTCTTGTTCCTATCTCCTTGTGTCGGTACTGAGGATCCAAGCTGATTGCTAGAAGTGGACAGCTAATACGCCTTTCGCAGCGTGCAGAAGCGGCAGCTGTTGCACCAGCAGAACAGTCAAGAAGCGCATAGAAGCATTCTTATGCTGTTGAATGCCATTGGTGTCGGAGTAGCATCTAATACTTTGTGCGCAGTGCCCGGGTATGCATCTTGCTCATGTGCGAAGCTCCAGAAACCCAACAGATGCAGTCCTTACTGGGTCAGCAAATGCGTCATGAGTGGGAGCTCGTAGGACTAGGACTGATCGTGTCATGGGGAACCGAACTAGGAGCCGTCACTTGTTGATGTACTTCTTCTGTCAGTCAGGCCATAAACGGCAATCTCGACAGGCAGGTTGGATCACAATTCAAAAATATGCTGACGGGTGGATCAAGCTGAGGGATGTTTTTGATTTTGTTACAGTGGAAACACTCAATGAAAGTCCTGAAGGACAGAGAGCGCTTGCCGCATGCTGACCGGTTGCGAGGACGACCTGCAGGTTAACTTAGAGTTAGGTTCTCAAAGCAGCAAAGCCTTTGATCATGCAGAAAGTAAGATGGGAGCAGCCGCAGGACCGCAGCGTCGAGAAAAGACAGCAGCCGCTCTTACCCCTGGACACAGCCTGCCTGCGACGACTACACCTGACGTCGTGCAGGGACCAGGCTGCTTCTCGAGGAGCATGCTCTTCGGGGGGGTACTTTGTTGGGTTGCTTTCTGCAGAAGGCACGTCAGCCACGGCAGCAACGGCCACGGCGAGGCCCATGGGCTGGCTTGGGAGCGTCCCACGCCATGCTGCTTTGCTTCACAGAATTCGTGTTCCATCAGCACGCCTGAATCCTGTGCAGCGAAACGGAAGGCCTTTGCAGACAACTACAGCCCCAAGCGACAAGGGCCTCGTGCCACCACCAGCTAGGATCTCAGCCCTGATGGAAACAGCTGTGGCTGCGACATCATGCCGATATCCAGCCAAAGCCAGAATGATGCAGGGAACCTGTCCTCAAGTACAGTTGTTTTCCACGGAGCCATCATCTGCCGTATCATTTTGAAATCTCGTGTTTGACAGCGTCTACATGGGGAAGGCCGGTTTTGTTCTGACTGCCCCAGAAAAAGTCGTAAGGAGCGTCTCCTTGCGGAAAGCATGCCCCCGCAGCAATGGTTATGTCTTTGGGGTTGGAGTGTGTCACACCAGGGTCTGACTCGAATACAGTAACCAGCTGCCAACGCACTGGCACTGAGATTCTACCTCCTCAATCAGGAGGACAGCCTCATATCCAAGCACGGGAACCCAGCTGACAGTTTGGCATCTGATCACGCACTCATCCTGAGAAATGAAGGACGAAGATTCTGAGACTGTTTGCCATGCATCCAGTGGAGAGGTGGAAATCACCACGTGTATGAGCGGTCCTTCTCAGAGGTACAGTATGTGAAAGAAGGGTCTCTTGCCATTCTAGTCCATCTCAAGCATTGCTGTGATTTTGACGTCCTCTTTCTAACGCTATCAACAAGGAATGTAGTGGGTGACTTCTTTTCATTACTTTACACGTTTGTCACGCTGTTCTCGCCCTTGCATGCATCCAAAGCCATCGTACTGCCGAGGCCTTACTTCCCGAGTGGGAGTCCTGGATGCTGGACTGCAGCTTCGCAGCTTAGCAGCAAAACAGGCTTACAAAAGAAGTAGGCAGTTTGGCATTTGAGCTTCAAGCAACAGCCAACCAAGGCAAAGTATACGCAGCATCGCTCTACCAATGGCCAACCGTTCTTATCAGGTTTGAGCGAAGGCACTCGCCAACGCACGCGTCTCGGAACCAGATCAGACCGGATCTAGCAAAGATTGGTGCATCATCACTTCAAGAGGCGAGGGAGCCAGCGTGCATACACATTGTCATAAATGAAGCAGAAGTTGCCCAAATCCGTGGCAGCTGGTGTAAGGCCTGGAAGCGCTTTGGCAGAATCACTGTCGCGTCTGGATCGGAACTTAAGGTACAAAAAGGAAGCTCTCGTCTGTTCCAAATCCCTGCGCAGCCTGTCAATTGATTCTCCTCACCCCTCTTGCACCGACAGATTCTCTGGTGGTTCTTGGCGAGGCAGAATTGCGTGACGCTCTCATGTCTCTGGTCTTTCAGAAGCAGGCTTAGAGTGCTGCAGGTGTGGCTCTAGCATCCTCTTCGTGGTGAATTCTTGGTGGCAGTCAGTGTAGATTCGACGTTGCTACCTTGTCTCTGCTGTTTCTACCTCCGTACTTCATACTGTAAAGTTGCTAAGCGCCAAGCGCCATGCGGACAGCTCTCAGCTCAGTGCTGCGACGACAGGTCATCAAGCATGGGCAAAAGAGTCTGCCCACTTACCCTCGGTTCTTGGGCGCGACATCCGTGTTATGTCGCAGTAAGTCGGACGTATCCAGCAACCTGGAGAAGAATGACGACGCCTCCCTTGACCTAAACCATTTAATCACCGCCAATCGTTGGTCGAGCGAGGAGCTTAAAGCAATCACGCCCACGCACCGTCAACCTGAGGATTGGGTTGATTGGGCATCTTACATGACGGTTAGGGGCATGAGGTCAGGTTTTGACCTCTTCTCCGGTTACAAGTTCCGGACGGTCCTCGGCACCATGCATGAGAGGGATTGGATTCGCCGTGTGATCTTCTTGGAGACAGTGGCTGGAGTGCCAGGCATGGTAGCTGGCATGGTTCGCCATCTGCACTCCTTGCGCTTAATGCGCCGAGATCATGGTTGGATTCATTCTTTGCTTGCCGAAGCAGAGAACGAGCGCATGCATCTTCTGATTGCGCTGAATTTGCGACGTCCTGGTCCCGTCTTCAGGGCAGCTGTCATTGCGGGACAGGGAGTGTTTCTAACATGGTACAGTCTGATGTACCTCATATGCCCGCGATACTGTCATCGGTTCGTCGGATATCTGGAAGAGGACCGGGGTTTTTGTTCGGCAGGGTTTCCAGAGAACCTTTTCTGCAGTGAGCCTGTCCGAGTTTGCAGACCTTGGCAGACTGGTCTTTAATTCCTGACAAGGGGTTTGATGTTCTGACCTTTGGTCGATAAGTTGAAGACTTTTCAATATTACGCGTCAGGCTACTCAGAAGCTGCATTGAGATTATAGGGTGATACTTGTTTTGAGAGTTTCGGACACCGACATCTCAAGCTGCTGGGCATGAGCCACTGCACGGGGCTGCCCGGCCCGCATGGGCCGCCTTGTCTGTGCAGTTACGCTCCCCTAAACCACTAGGCTCTGAGCAGTCAGGCATACATCCACGAGATGCGTTATTGGCTAAGAAGAGGCCGAAACTCTCAGAAACTTGCATGCTTTTTGGAAGCAGAAGTTGCCTTGGAACCTATTGCGAAGAAATGAATCAACAGGCGAAGCGCTGCTGGAGAGGTTGCGAGAATTGCAAAGGAGATTCAAAGCAACGCTAAGCCTTCATCAGGATAAGTGCGGGCAAGCTCTGTTGCAAATAACCAGTTCTTCATCCAGAGGGAACACAATTGGGATTACGTTTTGGAGCTGGCTGTCATGCCGGAGGCGTGGCTGCGACGTGCAGTGATAGTTCGCTTTTACAACACATTATCTCGGGTTCGGAAACTCTGCGCATTTGTTTGGCCCGTGTTTTGCTTTCATAGCTAATCATAACATGTCCAAACAGATTTACATGTATTGTGAGAACGCCCCAAGTGTGCTTGCAGATATATGATGTTGTTATATTGAATCTGCGCACCGACGTGTCCATCGCCTCGTGCTGTGAAACTAGAACGCAGCTGAACAAATTTCCTAGTTTCCTGAGCAGTACTGGAGTAGACATCCACCGGTTCCACAAGAAAATGGGTTCCAGCTCTTCGACAGGTATATTCTAAACGTAATACGGGTTCCCCAAGCGACCATTACATGTTGAAGGTCAAGCTTCAGGTCAAGTTAGGGGCAGCCCTCCCAAAAATTGCTAAACCTCCCATGAGAGAGTATCAAGTAGATTCGGGCTAAGGCAGCCTTTGACCGCGAGGTTATAGCACACCTCAGGAGTACCCCTCCTTTGTCCCCTTCGAGTACACTGCTCAGGATCGAGGGGAAAATGCAAGGCCTATATGCCAGCAGGTTGGGGGTTCGTGATCATCAAAACAAAGCCCAGGAAGTTAGCGGTCCAGTTACAACAGATCCGGAATCGTATTTCTATCTAGATGCCGTTGTCGGAAGCAATAACACCAGAGAACTTTCAGCCACAATGGAAGCAGCTTTGTATATTCTGGGCCTTGATAAAATCCCCTCAGAGGTAGAATTTGTATATGACGTGGGCTGCAAACATAATCACGGGAAAATTCCACCCGCCCAGAAATAAGGCCATGGTTTACAACGTCAAACGTATTTTTGAGTCCCTTAACAGTAAAGCCTTCGTCAAATGGACATGGACTAAACGACACGCTGGAAACGCCTACAATGAGGTTGCCGACAGGTTAGCTGACAAACGTAAATCCACAGGACAGTACGCAGGAGGACGCTCTCAACAAAGCCCATCGATTACGCCGCACTCCCTCTCCAGGGAAGCAATCTTACCTCTACAAGACGACCCGGAAACGCTCAATCAAAGACTCATACACAGCACCCACAACTTACTAAAACTCGTAACATTGTAGGCTGGCGGGCTTCAGCTTCGTTGATGAAAGGACAGGCTCTTTCCTTAGTCCCACAAAGGGCTCCAGGTATGAGGTGCCTTCACAAAAGCTTCCAGGCCCTCCAGAGAGCTAAGACCTGAATAACAAAATGAAGAGCTGTGCAGCATAACATGGTTCGTGGACAACCCATTCCCTTATCGGTTCAGTTCGTTCCCACTCCAGTTTGAATGCCTTGGGAGGAGGCTGTCATCACTTACTCCAAGCTTATCGCGGCCATCGATGCTGGTCAGCTGCCGATGTTTTCCAACATGAAGGCTCCGCTCTTCGCCCGGCAGTACTACAACCTCCCAAAGGAGGCGATGGTCCGTGATGTCTTTGAGCAAATTCGTGCCGATGAAGCGTGCCATCGCGACACCAACCATTTCTTTTCAGATCTAAAGCCGGACCAGCCGAATACAAAAGTTGATCATCTGCGGAAGGGCCATTTTCAGAATCAAAACGTTCATTCCGGTGTGTTGAAACTCCAAAGGGAAGCTCAAAGCAAGGTGTTGCATGAAACCTTCCAGAGCTTGGACCACGACCATGATGGCTTCATCAGCACCGATGACCTCCGGTGGGCTTTCCAACAGCATGATACGCCTTTCTCAGAGGAAGATCTGAATGAGATGGTCAGGAAGGCAGATAGGAATGGCGATGGCAAGATCGATTACCAAGAGTTTGCCAAGGTCATGAAAGAGGGAGACTTTCACTGAGCGTTTTGATCAGAAGCGGTTCCCCACTTCACAGCTTTCAAAAGCTGAGTGGGGGTCCATGATGTGTGGATGGAGCAGCTACCCAGGATCCCACACACCTCTTCTGACGAAATCCAAAAGAAAACGCCGCGAGGGGAGAGCGGCAACGGCAGGTAGCCAGTTGTTGCTCATCAAAGGTGGGTCTTTCAAAATGACGCACGGATTGTTTGTTGCATGATCCTCCTTTTCTGCGATTCTTTTGGAAAGTTCCGCAGCTGTACAGATTTCACTTGAAGTGCCTGTAACAGCCTGAGGCCTTCTCCAATAAAGTGAAGTTTCTGCATCCTGCGCAGTGAGAGGTTGAAGACTATTTATATTGCTATTCCTTCCATGCCTTCTTGCTGCGTTTCGCGTCTGTCTGCAAGTCCTGGCTTGGAGCCGAGACCAGGCAGGTTTCAGCTAGCAACAATGGCCCCTCCATGTTCACCTGGGCAGCTTTCCATGGAGGGCATGCCAGAGCCCCAGCCGTGACGTGTCGCCTGTACGTCGAAGCACGTGCAAGCATTCAGGCTGTGCCTACTCGAGAAGTACGACAGGCCTCTTGCGCGTTCTCCATACTAGTTAACAGATTTACAATATGCTGCGACTGACAAGCTAGACTTGGACTGCCAATGGCAAGTAGGCTGCTAGAGTGCGAACTTGTGGGGTTGAAGCGTCGAAGTTTTTTGAGCCGTTGGTGCAGGAGCTCTGATGGTACTATTGGAGAGCAGGAGCTGACAACGCTTGTCAAAGCCCTTGACACGGGTTCCTTCTGGGACGAGGCCATTTTCTTACGTGGCTTGATCAATTCAGAGAACTTCGCTTTGTGTCGACGTCTTCTGTCAAAGGGTTCTACCGACAAGCAAGCAGTGCGTAATCTAATCATGCCGTGCTATGGCTGTGGTCCTTGACTCTGGTCTTATACACTACCGTCGCATCCATGTTTAAAGGAAGAGCGTTTCCACGTCCTTGGAAGTTGGTAAGCTTAGGTGCTGTCTTGAGGCTTGCTGTACCTGTTGGACAGGCCAAGCTGACGTCCTTGATGAAAGGCTTTGGCTTGGATGCCGGGAGGCTGAAGCTGACGCACTTGCCTTAGTTAGAAGATGTTAGAAGCGCTTCGCTATTCTCTTCATCTCAGCCTTGCCGATAAGATCGATAAGGTCCTTCGCTCAGATGCTGTTCGAAGGACCGCAGTCTGCTTTGTACCAGGCGGCGCAAGCAAAAGCCAAGTCAACAGAACCAGAACCGTCAGTGCAATGCACTATCTCAATTGGGAGGGCTAAAGCAGCTAAAGACTCGTTCACAGAGGCTGTTGCCCTCCGACCAGGTGGTGCGGGAGGATCTGAGAAAAGCCATGACTTCTCCTGAGTGGGCTTCCCCCTCAGCCTTTCATTTGATTGCGCAACGTGTCCAACGGCAATGCAAGAATGATACTCGTCATAGTGGAATCAAGTGCTGCAAATTTGCAACAGTGTCAATAGTCTTACTGATGTGTTTGCGAAATCTCAGATGTTTATTCATCAACACCTCGCTATAGTGAGAATGGCTGCATCTGAGGCCAATCAGTAGATTGAAGCATTAGCAACAGTCATTGGAACGGAATGACAATCATGACAATCATGAGCCATTCGGATTCTCAAATGTCTGAAAGATATGTCAGGCAACTGGGGGTAGTCAACAATAGTGCTTCTGAGATTCTGGCAGCAATGATGTAGTACTGTAGATCCCGTAGCCTTACCACCAGCATCAATCCCATGAATCCCTAAACCCCCAAGCCCTAAGCCCTAAACCCTAAGGCCTGAACCCTAAACCCCAAGCCCTAACCCTACCCCAGAAGCCCCCAGGATGACGGTAGTTATGCGCCGATCCTCATCCGACTGGCCTGGCACTCCTCAGGCCAGGAAGCTCGCGGATCAGGGGCCATAGGGATTATATATATATATACATAGGGCTCATGTATATAGGGGTTATGTAAAGTTATGTAGGGTAAGATAGGGGATAACATAAAGGAACATTACCCCAATTGTCTACCAATAATGTAGAACCAAATGCACGAGAACATGGCAGATGACATAGAAACAGTTCTTGTGCAGGGGTTTAGGGTTTGTTTTATGCAGGGGGTTCTGGAAGAAAATCCCATTTGGGGAGCCTTCATCATCAAGATTATATTGCATTCAGGTCTGCATTGGGGCTCCATCAGGGCATATGTAAACATTTGAAAGGATATACCCCCGAATGCGGAGAGATCATTTTGGCTGGTTTGGAGGAGCAGGTAGGCTTTCAAGGGAGTTGAATCATCATTTGAGTAGTCTCAAAGCCTGCAAAAGCGTGCAAGACGTTTGGGCTTAGTAGCACCAGGGCATCCAAATCACCGCCAGCTACATGCAGATTTCCCAGCAGCAGCAGCAGCAGCAGCAGCAGCAGTAGCAGCAGGAGGACGAGCTATACTGATTGTTATCATTACGATGGCTATAGTAGTAGTGGTAGGCCATTTTCTGTTTGCTCGGCTGCTTGGCAGTGTAGTCATCGCGAGGCCCTCATGATCATGGAAACTGCATGCATCGCTGACTGCTCCTGCTTCCAGAGGTACATACAACAAAGCGGACGGCACTGGCGGTTCGAATGGTGCCACAATGCGCCACGCACTCGAGGCTTACGGCCCCGCAATTTTTATGCCATGTGCAACTACCGTAATGGTTGATGTTGAATGACTAAAATCATGAGCAGCGTGACTAGGGATGTGATTCTCATCATCACGTCCATTTTTTGTCACAGCTAGTGGATGTCTTGGATGCTCTGCAGATTGCAAGGCAAGCGATCCGGAGAACGCCTACTTGGAGCATGCCCGCGGACTCTTAGAGCCAGTGAAGGCTCGGCAGTGTGAGCGTCCTCTTGGCACCTAGATACATGCACTCCACAACATGTTACTTGCAGGCATTTAGTTTCAGCGGCAGAAGCCAAGACACTTCTACTTGCAATGAAGATCATTGCTGTTCAGCTTTCTGTCAGGTAAAACATCCCTGGATCTCCTATGCAGATCTTTGGATCCTGGCTGCCTACGTTGCCTTGGAGATCACCCGGGGCCCAAGGAGACTGACCTGTAGGTGTCGGACCTGCTTAGACGGAAGGGAATGTCCATGTGTCTGGCTCCTATCCTGAGCAGTCTTGCACTGTGATGCAATGCCTTGTCATGTCTCGTCAAACTGCGTTTTGAGTTCCACTTTCTTGTTTTGCCGCTGGAAGCAGCAGGATCGCCTTTACTGGCGGACGGGTTGACGCCCCCGAAGAAAAGGCAGCCAGGGTCCAAGAGAGGTTGGCAGCAAAGAAGCTTCACCTTAGGGATGAACCTGCCACGCGTTTGGCAGACCCGTGATGTGCGCGCTTGTAAGTTGTACTCGCAGTACTGATGGCATTTGCAACGCATTGGACCAGAAACATCTTAAGATGTTGCGTTGGCAGAGTGCAAGCTCGGACGCTGCTCATCATCCTCGCTGCAGCTCTGCCTATGGGAACTTGTGCATATCGCACGTTCGACCGTCCAGCATAAAACTGTGACCAGTCAGTAGTAGCGTCTGTAAATTGCCCCTAACCCAAAGCTTGGCTGTGCAAAGGTTGCTCCAGGTCGGCTTCCTGGGGCCGAGTATGGCCTCGCAGAGGGCATGGAGGCCACAACAGATCTAACAGATCTTGGGGGTCTTTCTCTTCTCTGGCAACGGGCATGTCATGTTCATGCTGTTGCAGAGCAGCTTCGTTTCAGGTCGATGAGGAGGGCCGATTAAAGGTTGGCCTCAAATCATGGCACTTGCTGTAACGAGCCCGCTGTCATTGCTCTGTGCTCTATTTGCTGCAGGGCTGGGAGAATCTCGCTCAGCACATCCGTGACGTGTTTGGACGAATGGGCTTGACTGACAGAGAGGTGGGAGTCTGGGAGTCATGATCTATCGGGAGCATGAGCTGCGGTGATCTGCCTGGAAAGAGCAATCCGCGACAGGCTGTGGCTCTGATCTGCGGTGGTCACGTCTATGGACGCTGCCACCCTGAGCAGACTGCTTCTGGTTATGCCGCAGACTCAGACTTACTGTTGCATCCGATTCCCGCACAAGGTTGGAGGGGGGACCTTGGTCAGTTGTTTTTGAGGAGTGACTCAGGTTATCGTAGTACCAAAAACTGCATAACTCAGGCTGGAGCCTGGGTGGAGATGCCCACGCTCTTCAGCAACGAGTATGCCGCCGACATGGTTCGCCTGCCAGCATGAAAGCTGAAATGCCAATGATGGACGAGACATCTCTGTGTCCAGTCTCAGTACAGTAGCAGATTCGTCGGCATGCTTCATGCGATGTTTGCAGGATAATACCGTCAGACAATTCTGGAGATTTATTCCTTCATGTTGCCTTTCCAGACTTCCTTCCAAGTTGTAAAGGCGCAATTTGCGATGTAGGTCCTGCACTGTAGGAACTGAAGCTTATAGCATTTCTGCGCCCTTAATTGCCAGTGCTGTAGCTTTTTGTGGATCAGCATAAAAGCATGGCTGAGTACAAGCCCAGGTAGTTTTTGGGGCTCCACTTCTGCCACGCCACAATAGGATTGCTTTGCAGGTTGGAGATAGATGGATGGCGGTGACGCATGACACGGCTTGAGCCCAAGTAGGCGCGCCGAATCTGTGGCCCCAGTCAAGTTGTCACTGCAGGTGATGCCCGACGGCGGTCGGGTGCCAGAAGAGGCTCAAATTATGTGCGCATGCAGGTCCTTCAGAGATGAATCAAGCTGAATGCCTGAGCACCTTCAACATCTGCGGCTGGCTTCTTGGACAGGTGCGACCTGCTCCCGGCAAGAGGCAGCTTGGGCCTGAGCTTTCTTTTTTCGCAAGCGAGCCAACTTTATGCCAGCATGCCTAGAACTGATGAAAGTCTGATTGGGCGCGAGCTGCATACAAGAAAAGGGGGGGCGAATGTGTCTTCGTTGGCCTTGCTTTTCAGCTTCCAGTCAGCGGGTGATCACGCAGCAGCCTGAAACGTCCCATGCGTTGACATGGCTGAGATACATTGACCTGACCAAGTACGAGGGAGAGGCACAGTTTCCTGACTTTTTTTCAGAGTTAGGCTGTCAGAAGTTCTAGAAGCAGGAGGAAGAGGAGGCGGCACAAGAAGCCCCGGACGCCAAAGACTGGATGTCCTTCTGCAACATTCACTCGTGCTGGCCGTGCAGTACTGCTGGCAGAGGGCCAAAATCATGTCGCCTTGAATCAGGAGTATCCGCCAGGCAAGCAGCTTAGAGAACCAAATTAAAACATGCAGATCATCTGATGAAATCTGATGCTGCTTTCCAGGCCGATACAAGTGTACATCCCAGTGGGTCAACATCCATGTTGGGCTCTCAGGTTTGCTGGCCAAAAGAGGCATGTAGGGGGGCTCTATGTCTATCCAGCTGTTTCACTGAAATACAGGAGCAGCCGGACGTGTCCTCGCCCGTCCATGGTCGTTGCCTTGAGGGGGAGGCAGGTCGTTGTGTTCTTTGCAACCGTTTGCAGACATGTCTTTTTGTGAAACCTTGGCATCACACATGCAATCGGCTGTGGCCAAAACACAGTGAGAGGAGCTTTCCTTCTTGGCAGTCAAAGCTGTTCTCTCAGCATTCGTGTGTCGAGTACTTGCGCTGCCGTTCAATTCTGTCCAAGTGCTGTGAGGTCTTTGGCACGGAGCTACGTGGGCTTGCAGAGCAGCAACCTTATCGGAAGCCGCAAGTGATCAAGGGCTGCCTCATGCCACAACAGTTCCGCTCTGGTGACGGTGATGCCCAGCGTATGCGCCACTGCAGCCATGTGCAGCCATTAGCACCAGTACAGAACTTTACGTCACCGTAGGCGTGGTGGCTGGATCTCACTTACCAGCGGAGCAGGAGCGGGATGTGACACGTATCTGCAGAACTGTTCCCTGCTAGGTAGTCCATCTTGCTTACTAATCTCCTGCAGGCAAGCCTATTTTCGAGAGGGTCGCCAATCTGGAGCCCGAGCATTTGCAAGGGCGTCGTGAGCTCTGATCACATCGGATCCGTGCAGCGGATGAAAAGAAGCAAGTGTCAATGCTTGGATGGAGCCAGGTTACCGCGTCAGGATCGCCAGCCCCGTCCTTGATACGCAGCAGTTGACTGAAATGAATCCGATGTTCCTGCTGTCGCTGACAGCCAGATGCGCCTTTGCTCGAAGCTCCATCTGCTTCTGCTTTAGAAGTTGGACGGAAACAGGCCTGTAGACTGCTAGAGCATCCTGCTGTGATAACCATCTTCCCGTGTAGGCGGGCGAGGAGGTCACCGTTGAGGAAGTTCGCATCGAGTCCAGCGAGGGTGGGGTAGCATTGCTGTTTGCCACAAGCAGCTGCAGAGAACGGCAGTGTCACGTAGATCAGCCCAGCATTGTCCACTGCACATGTTTTCAAAGCAAGCATCTTTCATGCGCCTCGGGCAGGCTCGAATATCTCCATCATGGGCAGGCATCGCCTGAATCCTGCCATGCGTTGAAGTCTTGCTTGAGCTTCCTCAGGCTCGAGGTTGGAGGACGATCTGGATGGGTGCAGGGCTCACTTCAGGCATTCCTTTTGCTTCCTGGTGTTGGCACCTCTTGTGCGTAGGTGACGATCTACTCCTCTGATGGCTTTGGGGGTCTGGTTTGCGAGCGGATCGTTGAAGGACCAGTACTGTCAGTATTTCCCAGCTTATCGCGGGTGGCCTGGAAGAACAAGCTTGTAGCTTTTCATTTATGATGTCACCGTCTGGTTTTGCATGGATCTTTCGAGGTCAGTCTTGTGAGTGCACGGCAGTCAGAATTGCGCAGGCTACAACGAGAGGCCTCGGCGGCCGTTGAAAGGCCAGCCCGGATCCCAGGTTTCGAAAGTTTCGAAGGTTCTGAAGCAATGGTGTTTATGAAGATCACGGCTCAAGGACTGGGCATCAGATGATGCTTGTTTCTGACATGGTACTGCTCTGGGATGCTGCCTTCCGGGAGCATCTGGAGGCGCTGAAGTCCTGCCATGTCTTGCCGTTGGTTTCTTCAGGGAGGAACTTGGAGATTATGCAAGGTATTCTAGGATTCCTACATGTTGTTTGTGCCAGTGTCATGTCAGGAGGTGCTGCAAAGTATTCACTGCTTCACTGCTTTGCATATGCGTTGCAGGCTTATGCAGAAGATGAGGACTTGCTGAAGCGCGAGTTTGGAGAGGCTTGACGTGCCTTGCTACGTGCCTTGCTGGCTTGAGAGCTCTGAAAATTAGAGAGAGGGCATTTCAGGATGTTTCAGATTTATATGTCATTATGTCAGGCTTTCAAGAAGCTCACCGAGCTCGGCTGCCCTTGGTCTAAGGCGCACGGTTGCAGCAGAAGAAGGAGAAGATCTCCCTGTCCTCTTACATTTGCGCAACGCTTCCAGGACGCTCCTGGGCCGGCGACAGGCTGCGCAGCGGTTGCGCCTAGCCGCTGCCCATTTGTACAGTGACGACGCCATTTGCCGCACAGATGCCATGGGCTCAGTGTGCCGGCAAAGGGCGGACTTGTGGATGCAGTGAAGCAACACTGGCTCTGTGAGAATGAGGCGCCGCAGTCGCGCAACAGTGCCGTGGATGCATCCCCCCGAGCTTGGCAAGGCCAAGCATTTTCGCATGCGCCGCGCTTGATGGGAGGGGCCTGGCAAAGCCAGCCCCGAACGGCAAAATGTGGCGCTCAGCCTGCGCCCTTTACAGTCGCAAAGGCTATTTTCCCAACTTACTGAGCCTCCAGCCCAAACTTGTTTGTAATCGCAGAGGTTGCCCAGCAAAAAGAGGAAGGTGCCGTGATGCGTAACTTCCCCATCTTCAGAAACTCATTTGTTCTGGCCAAACTCTGTGATCCAGCATTCAGTATTTCAGCTGAGATTGCAACATGCAAGTTTTCCACAGTCAGGTGAGTAAGAAGTGCATGCAAGCGAGCCAGCGAGCAGAAAGTAGCGGACCTACCTGTTGACCATGCAAGCCCATGTCAGCGCTCCGCGCTTTGCAGACCATCATGCTAGTCTGATATCTGTTTGTTCTGCGGTTGCTGCGATGGACCCCCGTGGTGAGACAGGCCCGCGGGTCGCCAGTCTCTTTGGTGTTATGATCTTTTCGCTCCAACGACATCTTTAATCTTCAAAGGCAAGTTACCAGACAAGGCCTTGCATGACCCGTACACACTCTTGATGTAATTCCTTATAATAATGCCCGTTGTAAACTGTCGTGAAATTGCCCTGACGTATAATTTGAGGATATTTGAGGCATTATAAATTATACGATAGTGAATCTGCCTGTTTGCAGGCATCATGCCTGGCATTGCGGAGAAGGTAAGACACATGGCAGGCGGACTGAGACATGCTGTTATCTGACCTCGTCTTTGCATCTGCAAGAGCCATGCAGGCATCACGAACTGGGTCGGGCAGCCCAGCCAGCGTCCACACTTGATCCCCACAGTCGGCAGAGACGTGACAGTACATGAGGTTCCAAGCTGTACTGTAGCCACAGTGTTGAACAAGACGGGGTTGCTGAGAAAAAGGACATGCCCCCTTTGTTTTACAAGCTTGGCTGTATCTGAAAGGGCCATGCCTACAATATAATCCAACGGTGACTGCTAGCAAAAGAAAGGTCCAGCCTGCCCAGTCAAGCGGAAATGACCTACTGTGCAGAGTGGGTTTCTGAGGTGCATCCTGCTGTGGCGCTGTCGAGCCTCAGTTCCGCTGTGGACAGCTGAATTCATGAATTCGGTCCATAAGTTGAAGCAGAACTCGGCGGAAAGGCTGCCTCCGCCGGGCGGCTCCAACACGGTGTCGTTCAGAGATGGCCAGGACGAGCTGAGCTTCACTCTGTACGCCTGAGCCTAGTTTGTGCTGAGATAAGGATTGTATTTCTTGCAAGGAGAATGGGGATGCGGACGTGCAGCACCAGCGGGAGCTGAAGTTCCCAGAGCAGTCAAACTCACAAGCCGCGCTGCTCAAAGCTGTGCTGCCTTTGGTGTCGCTGCGTGCACTGCGCTTTCAACAGTTCGGAGCAGGGAGAGCATCTTCTGAGCTATTTGAGGCACTTTCTCTTGCAGAGATTTCTGGCCTCGCAAAGCCGAGAGCAGTCCCACCGGCCTTTATCCCGTGACTCTCTCAGAAAAGCTGCCGTCCTTCATTGTTGTCCCTGTGGATGTCATGCACCCAAGGCCCACGCAGAACAACGTCTACACAAAAGAACAGCTCAAGGAGAATTCGCACCTGGCCATCCCTGATGTTAGGTGGTACGATTTCCGCGGGCATACCAGGACGGCAAAGTATGCATCGCAGGACTGGGGCTACCCGGAGTATGACTCCAAGTACGACGACGCGGGTTGGCTGTGCCGACCTTAACTGATTCGCGTGGTGTTGCAAAACAACGACTCCCTGCTCCTGCAGCCACGGCTGCATAATTTGGCTCAGCTGCAGAGGTGGCTATGCCAGCGCAGCAGATCGTAATATGCAAGCAAACTGTAGCCCACCTTATGCAATCAAAGCACTCACAGGCTCGGACAGCTTCCCAGCCATGGAGTATTCCTTCCACTACTCGATTTTGGAGCGTCTAGGAATTGGTTGGCGTGACAGCGTCTGCCAATCAAACGAGAAGCGGGTTAGGGAATATGACCGCCAGCAGGAAGAGGCATTTCAGTGCCTTGGAGCCAGCGAAGTAAATTGAAAGCACAACTTGTCTCTAGTACGCTTTTAGGTACTACGAGAAGAGATGCTGCGAACAGCAGAAAAATCCTTGCTAATCTGAAATATCAACTTGGTTTTACGATGTATCACGTTGCAAAGGAAGCCGCGCTATAAAGTCAACATGTTTCAGGTTGGACCTTACGGCACTCTGTATTTGATACCATCCCAAACACTATCCAGTTCCATCATCTGATTGTCAGGCTGAGGGCCTAAAGAAGCTACTGTCTCTCTGACTCCTGCAGCTTGCCACTTTGTCTGCTCATACGTTATGATGGTGCAGGCGACTTGCTTAGAAGCGAGAATTTCATCAGGCTCCTAACATGTTGATGAGGAATGGTGCAATCTCAACGTTCTACATACTGAGGTACGAGGAAGAGTACGTGAAGCAATGGCGGAATCGTGAGGTGGCTGTAGATCTGGTCCAGTCACGAAGAGACTACGAGAAGGGCTTCGTGACTGAACCTAGGCATTGTGTGCTGGTGATTTTCCCTGTGGTACGGATGTGAAATTGTATTGAGAAGCGCCGGTATTTGGCCATATTTCCGTTTACCAAGGACAACGGGAAGACTCAACTAGCCGTATCCATTCCAATTGAGGAGCCGCTTCAAAGCTTACTTGCCGAGGCAAGGGATGACGTGGTCAACTGCGTGCTGCTTCTATCAGGTATGCACAGTCGGGAGGAGGCCGCAGATATTGAGAAGAGCAGTACGTGGATTCCAGAGGTGGCGCACATCCCGCAAAAGGATTTGCACATAACTGTTTGCATCCCCAGCTTGTGGCGCGAGCCAGATCGTGATCCCGCAGCGCACAGCAAGTACAATGGCCAGGTTTGTCACGCGCTGCGGCATGTGGCAGCCGAGCATGAGGCCTTCGTCTTGGAGGTTGACAGGCTGATGCTCAGCAAGGATGGATCGCTTCTAGCTTTGTTTCGGACAGTGGGAGCACGAGACAGCGACGCAGGCTTGCAGGAACCCGAAGTCCTCAGCGATCGTTCCAGCACGGACATGGACCCCATGACTGCCCTCAGGGCCGATGTGCTGTATGTCTTTCTCGAGAAGAAACTGTCCCATGTTCAGCGGAAGGATGAGCTGGATTTGGCCGCGGTGCACGAGCATCCCAAGCTTCTGAGACAGGCGACCATCGTGCGAACGGTTGGTGGCTCTGCGCATGGCTACGTGCACTGTTCCCTGAGTCGGCTAGCATTGGGACCCGATCAGACCAAGACACCCCTCGACCTCAAACACCTTCACCGTATTTGCAGGCCCGTGTAGTAGTCAGCAAGTAATGCAAGTACAGGGCTCTGCCCCTTCAGGTCCTGGACAGCAAAGCTTGCTGGGCGTCGCATGGTATCTGGTCAGTTTTGATCAAGTTCTTTCGGTCCTTGTGGGATCACACCAAGCGGGTTGCTTGCGTGACGCCTGCGGTTGACCAGGCTGTACGGGGTTTCATACTCAGCGAGATGACTGGATTGGGCGAAGGAGGGAACAAGAACCCGTTTGACAAAGCGAGGCTTGCCTACAGAATGCTGAGCAGTGTCATGCAATTCGCAGTTCAGTCAAGCCACTTTGCCAAGTCATCGGCGGAACAATAACTAGCTATAGGCTGTAGATTGCCCATCAGTTTGAGTCAGAGCTGAGGAGGTGGACTTGGGCTCAGTCGGCTGCGTTCTGTTTTCTTGCCTGACATGCAATCACCATTGGAGCATGAAGCATTTTGCTCCACCACAATGCTAGGAGCAGTCATGCTAAGGTTGAAGGGTATCAGCCTCAACAACAGGCAGGGCTCTCTCGCAGCTGTGATGAACGATCTTTTGGGAGTCTTTTGTTTCAGGAAGGCTGCGTGCTTGTGTTGACATGCAGCCTGCTGAAAGTCATACCCCTTTCATCTAAGGCTCTCAGGAGAACTTGGCTCCAAGTTCTTTGTGGTTGCTTTCCCTGGTGCTCTTGAAAACCTTCCGCAAGTATGATTGCAAAGCCTGCGCTCTGAAAGAGAGGCGCGGGACGCGTCCGAAGGAACGCCCCGACATCGATTATGTTTGATTTGAAATGGAGCACTCTGAAGACGCGAAGAAAGAATTGACCGGCAGCCTCACCTTGCAGCAGAGTTGGTGAGATAGTATGCGCTGTTTTTTTATGGAACCCTACTATGCCCTGGTGTAGCGATGTACCATATGGTATTCACCGAACGTCCGTTAGCATTAGCTTTCCAAGATGTGTTACGAAAGGTCGCAGCAGTTCCGGCGTGAAGCAGACGACCCGCGTGAAAACCCGAACTTCTTTCTAACCCACGAGGCCGGGATGTACATGTATCATGGACATCTGCAGCAAATGTGCCCAGCGGTCGGGTATGAATTGTGCAAAGCTCGGCTCGAACCTTGCACGCAAGGATCCCGAGTTCTGGAACAATGCTGCGCGCAAGCCCCACATGAAGGCGCTCATGCAGTCCGATGATCACTGGAAGCGCTTGCCCCAGCGTCGCCCGCACGCACAACTTCCAGAGAGGGCAAATGTGATGGGGGTGCTCTGAGGTTGAGAAAGAACACCTGGTTGCAGCAGTTTCAAGAGGCTCCCAACCATCATGAACCTCAGTTCCCATGCATTCATAGCCAATGGGATAGCCAACCTCCTTATTCCAGGTGCAGACCACCAATCAGTTTCGGCGAGAGGCAGACTAAGCAGCATGAGAAAGCACCGTGAGTCCGGAGCAAAGACTACATGTTAGTATATAGCAACAAGCTTGCGAGCCATGATATGAATATGATAATGCGAACAAGTGTGCTGCATCTGTTGTTTTATCAAGGGACGGCAAAGATTGTCTGGAGACACTGTGTGGTATGACTCGCCCTTTGACAGCTGGCGGACTGTTTGGATGAGTGTACCATGGCTACGAGGCGCTTGGCCTGGGCCTCAGCGCCCCGCTTGCAGTGCTCATCCAGTGACGATCAAGCTGGTTGTCTTGCTGTGACTTTTGAAGTGGGCGCTGCTTCAAGCGGCCTTGCAATTGTAATGTTTTTACACATGACGATGAGGTAACCCCAATGCTGCACTACCGGGCTGTGGAGGCCTACTTGATGCAGGCCTCGCCGAGTCGATGAGATTCCATGCCTTTTCCTACATGTTGTCGGCATTGCTTGACTGCGTTATTGGCCGTAAAGGTTGTGAGACAAGCTCAAGAGCGGGGTGTACCTTTCCCACAGTTTGTGGAAGCTCCAGAGACACAGAGGCGACTGAAGTTATTCTGATGATCGCTGCCTCGGATGCTCTAACGTGCCAGGATGCTCTTCGACTTCCGCAACACGGTTGATACCGAAGGTGATAAGGGTGCTGACAGGATCTTCCAGGAGTCCCCTACCATCATAAGTTACACTGCAACATGCTAGAGGAGTGATTAGCTCGAGGCCTGTTGTAGACCCATACTTCGCTCGTGCGATAGGACTGGCACCAGCGCGGCCTCAAGGAGAAAGTGCAAGACCCAGTGGCGTTCCACCGCAGTGTTGGATCCACTCTAGAGTAGACCCCTACCCCACAAGTCTGGTTCGGCTTGAATATCTGATCGACAAACCGAGTATGGCAAATAATTGGCCTCGAGAAATTACGTCAAACCCATATGGGGGGTTCTGTTCTTGAAAACTTCACATAAAAGCGGATCCCCCAAACAACAGCAGAAGTCTGTACCCCTCTGCGAAAGCAGGTGCAACATTCAAGTGGTCGTGCTCCTTTGCCTTGCATTGCCATTGCCCACATCGTTTCGGTGTGCTTGCAAGGCTGCTGCAGACGAGCGCCGAAAGATTCAAGGACCTCAAGCGGATTCAAGTGCGACCACTGTCCTGCGTGCATATCTTTTGACGTCTGACTCAGTGGCCTTTCTTTGCCGGCTGTTGCATTGCTCGCTGTTGCAGTATGAGAAACATCCAGCTTGCGCGAGGTATGAAAGAGGTCCATGATGGACTTAGCTTCGCAACCAAGTATCGCAAGGCACCGCCGCACAGCTACTACGTGATGTTATAAGGCACTTAGTTAGCATATTATGGGTATATAGTAATAACTGGGGTTTCTTCATTATAGTACTTTTGTATAAGCTCCTTATCAGCAACCCAGATTGTTGAGCTCGCCTGGCCCACGGCTCCAGGACGGGGTGGTGGAGTGGGAAAGAGGCAACGCTGAGGATGCCTTGAAGGCAGGGGGCTTTCAGTCAACTGGGTTGCTGTTAAAGAACTTAAATAAAGTTACCATAATGGGTAATACATAGTAAATAATAGGGTTTCCCCAATATAGTAACTTAGGTTAAGTTCCTTAACAGCAACCCAGTCAAGAGATGTCAAGAGGAAAGTCATGCAATACATGGATGGGAATACCAAGCTGTCGCGAAAGCTGGCTCCTTGGAGCTTGCGGGACTTCTTGTTTTCCGAGTTCGGATCATCTGATCTGGTGTATCAGAGATTTAGAGGCTCACGCCCGGGGGGAGGTCCTCTCCAAGCTGAAATGTTTGCCATGCACCCCCTTTGTAACCCTTTTTGCCGTGGACCTGCGGACTCCGTGAATCTGTGGCATTCGTTGCGACGTGTTGCCAAGTTTGTCATTCCTTCAGGGTGCATTTTTCGGGTGGGCATCTAAAACATCTGGAGGAACAGAGCTCTGGAATTGCGATAGCAGGGCCAGACTATATACATAAAAAAGTATTGGCTAGCCAGACATGAAGCCTGAATTAGGAGGTGCTATGAAGGAGTGAGGGCTCATTATGTGGAATCATAGTTGAGAATAATTGGGAAAGGTTCGAAAGAATTCCACAAAGCCAGAATTCCAAGAAGAACCATTGATTTCAGGTGTTTTTTCTTGGAAATGATAGACAAACGACAAAGGAGCGTAAATGAGAAGTAAGCATTCTCCGGTTTTGTTCAAGTAACCAAAACATGATCTTTTGTTGTCATTGCTATCGCTTAACACATCTGAACAGGCTAAATGGAAAAAAGGGATCTCCTTTATTTCCAGCTAGACGGTGACTGCTTCACAGAAATTGCAAAGGCTTCCGGATAGTCCGTCCCTCAATTAATATTATGCCCCTTAATTACATCATGTGTGGGATCAGTGTAAGTGATCATTCATTATTTAGAGGGCGGGGGAGGGGGATGCATTTCATTATCAGAAGCCATTATAGTCGCGGACCTGCTTGTGGGACTTGGGCTGCGGAGCACTCTTTGGACCGTCTGGTGGTCTAATCTAATCTTTCCGTATTGGCATGGGCTGGGTGGCATCAGGTTGACTTGAAGCGCCAAACTTTCAGAACATGGTTGGACGGGAGGAGCTGCCCTCCCGGTCCCCCGAACCTGAAGGCTCTGTATGTTTTTTGTCATGCCCTAGGCCCCAGGTCTGTATTTTTTTTGGTGAATCATTTGCTGGAGGAAAAGAATTCAGGCACCTGAAGGGGCAAGGACCATTAAAAAAAATCATTGGCTACGCGGATATGGACGCGGCTTGCGTGGATGGTATGGTGTCCTCTCTCCGACTGAGATGCGATCTTCGTGGTCCTTGTCAAGTCAATGGTCATATTGCTAGCTTGAAGGTCAGATGCCAGGTGTGAGAACGTGGCGATCATCACGGTTCTTGGATCCGGACAACTTATTCAAAGCCACTGGATAAGAAAAGGAACTTGTATAAGCGCTGCTTTCTGCGAAGCTACTCACCGGACCAAGTGGAAAGGCCGAACCGCCCCTTTCTCCTAGTGTTGGCATGAATCATGGGATGGCGAGTGCCAAAGCTTTCAGCGATGTACCCATCAACAAGAAGAATACCTATCATGAAGTTGGGGCTCCGCCATGGCGATCATCTCAGCTCTTTTTTCAATGCAGGACTTACTACTTGTTTCCCAGGCTCATGTGAGCCGTTGCAGTGATCGGATGGCAAGCCTTGCTTTTGGCCAGTTCCCGAAAACCGCCAAATTTCAAAAGTTGCGCGCAAGGATTGGTCAGCATTGCAAGGCCCTGATGTTTGGCGGACGCTTTGCCAAAGTATATCCTCCCTCCTGCCTGATGGTGCGATTTTCAGGGCGAATATATGGTAGTTTCCCACAATCAGGGTACCCCAATACAGACCCCAATATACTATAGTCCTCATTACAGGGACCCACAAAAAGGTAGCCCTAATTTTGGGAAACCCCCATATTCTGGAAAAGAGCACGTTCCATAGTCACAACAGCTGCCAAACAGCACCTACCTGCCAGGGACATGAAGGCACATCAGCCATTGATCAGTCCTCAAATATTGGAGCTCTTGAAAAGTCGTTGTGAAGCGTGGGCAAACGGAGATTCTATTCGAACACAGAAAAGCAACTATGAAGTCAGTTCAAAAGAGCAGCAATAGAAACTTACATAACCTTTCATGATGGCTTGAGGACCTCGACTCCTCAAAGGATTGGGCTTGGTATGACCAACCGCAATCCCTGCATGGTGTCAAGGAGCCTTTAGGTGAACCTCTGCAGGTGAACAGGTGCAATTCCAGTCATGCTGAGCTACGAAAACAAATTCAAGAGATGGCCATCCCAATTCAGCTTCAGAAAAGGGCATTGCACTGAAGACGCTATTTGCGTGGGCTCATGTAAAGTCGAATAGGCAATGTGCACCACGTAGTGGCCAGACGAGGCTGTTGGCCCTCGACTGGAAACAATGTTTTGGCCGCATTCATGCTGACAGCCTTGCATTCTGTCACAGGGTATACCAGGTTTCTGCGTGCAAAAGAAAATGATCTTTGGCATTATGTAGAAACGCCGCTTTTCTGCGACTGATGAATTCCGATGTTAAAGCTTAGACGTCTGGCATCTCTCAACGATGCACTCTCCGCCCCCTGCTATTCATCGTGACAATGACTGTGCTGATGCACGCTGCCCTGCCAAACCTGGATGATGTTGCCACCTTAGCTAACCTAAGAAGTGACTAACTGAACTTCTCAGTTTGGCGGTCTTCCAGGGCACGAACTCGGATGAACAAATTGGCATGGCCACAGCTGATGTCCGCCAGCTACAAGTTGTGGAAGCACTCATCGCCGCATTGGGTCCAAAATGTCCGAGTTTACAAGGCTCTTATGAAAGGAAGTTGATGTACGGCTCGCGCTGTTGCTGTTTCCTTTCTGCTGCGAGTCGTCGTCGCTTGGGTGGCTTCCAAAGCCTCAGTTTGCGCGGTATTCTCGGCACAGCTCCCGTTTTCATCTCGTTTAAACAAGAAGTATAGCTTTCGATCGAGTTTGATGTGTTTTGCAGCTCATGTTTGATGGCGGGCACCTGCACCATGTTGCCTGGTGGTATGGATGCTAGATGATGCTAGGATTTTCTGCTGATGCTTGTGTGGGATGCTGTAGCAAACGTATGCAGTATCTTTCATAGTGAAGCATCAACGGTTTGTCTCCGAATTGCACCGGTCCAACATTGCATGTAGCGGCTGATGAGCCCACATCTTGTAGCATTGGCAGTGTCACTGATGTAGATTGCGATGTAAGGTATGCACCACATGTCCCCGGAAACCTGCCGCAAAACCACACTACGCACGTTGACCTTCTCGCCGTAGCATGTTTGTTTTTCCAATGTGCCATATGCTGCATGCTGTGTTAAAGCACTGGTACACATCAATGTCCCATATTGCATTGTGCAAGGACTTGTAATAATCGCAGTTTGCATGCAAGTTTGCGACCCAGCATCGCTTCTTAAATGTGGACATGAAAAGTGCGAACAATGACTTTAAATCTATGTTGGCTTGAGTTGCCTTTCGCCAACCGTGTTTGGGATCTAGATGTGGTGGCACAGTGGGCCGAATCCTAGCAGCCAGTGCCATGTACAATCGGGGTACTTTGCATTGCATCTGCTCGGAGTTGGGGAAGCCATGCTACATCTACCTCAAGACAAGCAGTGACGCTTTTTGAAACAGATTGCATGGTGATATTACTTTGCCCGTAGGCTGATGATCTGGACAATACTGATACCAACATACACTGCCACGCGTACGCTGGGCTTCGGCACTAAGAGTTGCACGCTGCCGTCAATCTGCTCTATGCTGCAACCATTCCGTGTACCACCATGCAAGCATACACAATGGACTTTGTGGTGGACATCTTCCGTGCAAAGAATGTCGGTATCGAATATGCCCGAAGTTTGCACAGCACAGTTGATCTGAGGATGAAGACAAGAATGCAAATTTGTCACGAAGAGGCCCTTGCAATGCTGCCAGTGACATTCGATCTCAACAACAACTACTCCTGTTCGGGAAAGCGCTGTGGTCTCCACGCGCCCATCCTATGCACATCTCATCTTTCATCCAAGGGAGTGTGAAAGCAGGCACGAGCAGATATGTGAAGGCTGGAGCGACCAACCCGTGAGTAGATACGAATGGATTATAGGAACTAAGCATTAGAATTCGTGAGCGCTCACCGTGAATTAGCCAGAGTTGTACAGAGGCGTATGACTGACCAACTGATAAGGGAGTAAGGCAATCAATGCAAAATCATAGTTTAGAAGGGTTTCCTAGAATTGTCGGAAGCGCGTTGATTTCAAGAGTTTTTCTCTGTCAGAAGTTGGAAACGCTAGACAAACACTGATGGAGCGGGAATGAGAATTAGGGGTTTCCTAGATATTCAGCTCTCTAACTGTTTTTGCTCACGGCTTCACACCTGGGAGTGTAAATACAAGAGTCTTAAGGCGATCCAAGTGGAATTCAGAGCTTCCTGATTTGCCTAATATCTCTTGTTCTTGAACAACAGCAAACGATAGAAAAAATGCAAAGTCCAACTGGAATTATGGATCTCCTTGACATCATAAACAAAAATCAACTGCTGTAGAACCTAAAAAGCCTGACTGGAAGTAAGAACTGACAGGAGTTCATAGAATTCTAGCTTCAATCCGCGCTGCTGTCAAGTATATCGCAGCTACAACAGGCTGAATAATGAATGATGTTGTATTCATGTTGCCAGGCGTGGCGTCTTGGTTGCGAGGCTCTGGAAAGGACGATGTTCGAGCGCTGTTTGAGCAAGCAGAGAATTCCCGGAAATCGGCTGAAAAGATATCCTGCCCCGGTCAATCTGGCCTGAGACTCTTCGTATTCCTGATGGCTCTTTGTTTTTGACTTTTAGACGCCATGCTGCAGGATCCGTGTACCAGAGACACACGCATCCGAGCAGAAGTTCTTCTCAGAGGTTCCTCTAGTCACCCTCTGCCGTCCTCAGGCATGAATCCGTTTCAGGTCCGAGTGGCGCTCTTAAAGAACAGAGCTTTGGCGGCGCTTAAGCTCAATTGTTGGCAAGAGGCGAGGAATCTTCAGAGCATACCGAGATCATGCGGAGGCGTTGTCTTTTCTCGACAGGCCCTGGAGGCCGCTGAAGATGTTCTCAAGACGGACGACCAGGCTCCAATCACTTGAAAGTACCCGTGCTCTCTTAGGTCCCTTCCACTGCAAGTGGACGATTTGTCAAGCAACAAGCTTGTGCAATCTTGACCGCAAGAATGCTGCTTATACTTGTACCCGGCTGTGCCAAGCTTGTAGGACCACAAAGCCTGGTTCAGGAAAGCCTGCGCATTGGAAGGCGCCTCTGCGTGTTGCCTTCTATCATCTGGTAGATGCAACATTTGTTGAGTTGCAACGCAGTGTTGCCTCCTGTAAACTCAACATGTCGGAAGGCCTTGGACGTCTACAAGAGGTAGAAAAATGCCAGGTTCCTGGAAGATGCACGGGCTAGGATGGCTCTCGACTCTGCTGCCGGATCTTGATATCAGAAGCATCGGGGAAACAGGCTCGACCAAAGATCGTGGCATACAGCACCATACAACTGCTCCACAGCATATCCACTCAACAAGTTGTCTTCTCCAAGGCCTAAAGATGATAGACAGCATTGCGGTCGGGCGTGCGTACCTCAATCTTCTGCTTTTGGAGGGGACTGAAAACAAAGGCTTGGCAACTGTCAGGCCCTGACAGAGATCGGCTGGAGCGTGAAACATCTGCGAAGCGAGAGAAGGCTTTTGATTGAGCTTTGTTAACTCTTGCTTTTCTGCCATGCCTCGGGCCACATGTTTCTGTGAGCCTCAGGTACAAGCCCTGCTCAGCAGAGATGAGGCCTTATTTGAACTCGGAATACGACTGAAAGACGCCCTTTCTCAGAGTTGTCGCAAGGCATCGCACGCAGCAATTTTCCAGCATGAAGCCCCCCCATGATGCGATCACTGCCCAGCCCCGTAGCGTTTAAAGCAGACAGCAGGCTTGAATGAAGCGCAGGGTGTCAATTTAATTGTAGCGAGACATTGGAGATCAAGCTGAGGAACTCGTACAGCTGTAGGTGTAAATGTTCTGAGCACTTCCATGGCCGAGCCGCGTCCTCGCGATCGCATTTCGGACACGACTAAGATTCCAACACTGCATGCTTGGACATCTAGGCCGACCGATGACACCGGCTCCAAATCCAGCCGTCTAACAGCTTCAACGGCGAGTAGCTCTGCTGGTTGTGCTCGTATCCCTTACTCAGCCAGGGAGCGGGATCCCAGGGCATGCCCACTGGCTGGAGCCTCCCGAGACTATGAGAGTGTGCATCGACAGTTTCATGACAACGCTGCTGGTGCCCGTGATACCTGGTGGCTGCGGCAGAGGGACATTTCGACCAACTACGCCAGAAGCAACGGCACGCTTGTGGGAGGTCCGCCTGTGCTCAGCCTGCCGAATGAGAATCTCAACGCGCGAAGCCGCCACATTGCCAAGCAGCTCCGCGAAGCATTTGCAGGTGCTGCGGGGCATCGAACTTGTGTGGTCGGAGACCTGGCACCAAAGCCTGTCCTGGGCAGTCAGAGAATGGACGGTCCCGATGTAGCACAGACTCCGCCGCATTCCGAACGACGGAAAAGGCATGCCCGCAGAGATACCGTCCGGTCAAAACAGCAAAATGCTGGCTCACCGCAAGCCCGCACAAGAAAGCCAAGGGAAGATCCTGCGGGCAAGCGGTCCATGGGCATCGCGCCTCGTCAGCAGGGCCTGAAGGTCTACCCAGAAGCTGCTGACGTCTGCGAGACGGATGGACTTATACCCGGCCGTGAAATCTTGCCCCGGCGCGCTGAAAATCATTTTGGTGTGGCCCTCAGGGGTTCTGTGTTGCGCTTTGTGTCATGGGGACTTGCTCTTTCTGCTGACCTTGCATTATGTTGCTGCTCCCCTTCTCAGATTTGGCCGAGCATCTTGGCGCTGCTGGCAAGAGGCGACTGGGCAGGATGCCCCGCAAAGAGGGCTTGCGCACCCGAGCGACTGGCCACGCTTCACAAGTGGACGAGGCCAGTGTTGCTATGATGCTTTTATGAAGGATCTGTCTCCGGCGACGCACCTGTTAATTTAACCGCTCGAGGGGCAACACTGGAGCGAAGCAGAACTCATGCGAGGCTGAAGGCATGCCCCCAGCTCAAACCTTCAAAATTACCAAACAACAGAGGAAAACATGCGATCTGCGGTGGGGGCATGTGGGGACTACTAACTTGTTGATTGTTGATGGTCTTAGATCTAAACGCCACAGGCCTCCGGCCTCGGCAGATCTTAAGGTCTCAAGTTTATTGCAAGGTGGTATTCGGCCATGATATGGACTCCTCGGACATACGTGTTGGGGAGTATGCTGACGAGGCCGTTTTCGAGGGTGCAGCTGGGCGAAGGCAGCTTGGCAGGATTCTACACTCTACTGCATGAACAGACTGGAAAATGTTGGAGCCACTGGCGCCCAGGTATATCGGCCATGTGGACCGCCCTGAGGGCTTGAGGGCGAATCCTGCGAAGACAGTCTCAAGAGTGGACCAGGTGGTCCTTGGTCGCGAGCTGGCAAACTCTGATGTCGCTTGGTTTTTTTCGAATACGACTTTAGGCATGTTCCGATGAACTGGCTTAGTCATTTGCTTAGACGAGAAGCACCTCTGAGGACAGGCTCAAGGAGCACTTGCAGCTCGAAGCCTTTAAGGACGGCCCCAGTCGCAAAGTGTGGAACCGCCGTTGCTTTTGGAGCCCTGTCGTCGCGAAATGCAGAACAAATTGTCGCTGGCAGTTATTGCGAAGACTTCGCAAAGTGTAGAACTGTCGTTGCTTTCGGAGCCGCATTTTCGCGAAGTGCCGAGCTGTCCTCGCTGTTAGACGCGAACGGCAAAACTATCACAGCGTTTGGTCTCGCAAGATGCGGAACCATCGTCATCCATCGTCACTTTGGACTCGTAGGCCTTAACTGATGCTTTCGTAGTGCAAGCGTCCCATGCGAACTGTGTCCCCAATGCGGGCCTGCTTTGATTTTGACGTTTCTTGTGATAGCTATAAATTGTGGTTGGCATGAGCGGGTATATAGTTTGGAGAAGCCGCATGCTCAACCAGACCCACTGCCACAATCAACTGCACGCCATTGCACACCACAACTTACTTGTATGTCAAAGGCGTTTGCACAACCATATCACAAGAAATTCTTCCCGCTTTAGCAAGGAGATAGGACCATCAGCCAATTCAATGCCCCACCTTGCTGTAGTCGCAGTTCGTTGAAGCATGTTGAAGCTTGCAAAAGCTTGCAGGATGCGGCTGGAGCGCATTGCCTTGGCCACATCCCTCGGACAGAGGGGTTGAAGCCAGACTTGACCACTGCAGTTTCTCAAGTGGACAAGGCCTGAGTCACCTACCTCTTAAAGGGAATTCATGTTATAGTATTTGTAGTGCTCTGGCATAATGTTGTTTGAGTGTTGTTTGTTTCCGGGTCTGAACTGCTTGGCGGTTGAGGGCGCGGCATTTCTTGCATTCCCGGCCCCTGGCAGATCGTGTTCGGCCATGAGCTTGGTAGCTCGGCTGAACGAATCCGACATCACCTGCAGTCTGCTCAATTTCAAGGCCTGAAATCTTTTCACCTGAGAGCAAATCAATAAACATCAGCCGCATATGGCGCTGTGTGGGAACTATCCATTTCTCAGAGTTGATCCACCGAATCTTGGACGCAGCGTGAAAACGAGATTCGCAAAAGGGGCTGCTCGTACACCAAAGAACGAGCATAACTCTCAAACATCCCACCGCATAAGGTTCTAGCTCGCCAGCAATCCCGAGCAATTTATGCCAAACGTCAACTTCCTGGTGTGAATTCACTTTGCATGCGCCAAACTTCAAATCCAGGACACAATCCCGCCCCAGTTCTAGGGAGTCAAGATCAGCCCCGTGGTGTGCGCAGCCTACACAAGAAGACAAAGACAGAAAGAAGAGCAGAGCTGGATGACGGCGCTTCAATCGTAACCATGAGATTAGTTTCACAGCCGCTTGGAGCAGTGGAGGAGGTCAGATGTTTTTGTATTTCAAGGGTCGAAGTTTCTGACTTCCCGTATCTGACCTTGCAGACGGGGCAGCATCTGGAACCTCTTCAGTACTGAGCGAATATGCAGCTACCTGCTCCGGCTTGGGGCAATATCCAAGCGTTTGCAGGTGAGCGTGCATACAATATGTAGAAGAAGGAGGAGAAGAAGCAGATGATCAGCCGTGATGTGGCTGACATAGACAATAGGGTCAGCAGCATCTTTTGACTTCGATTGATGTACAGTACTTCATCCAAGCGGATGCGCGCTTCATGTTTCTGAGACGAACCCCAGAAACTGTTGCCGGCAGGCGCGGCAGGGCGACGGTACATTGGGCACCCTGAGCGGGACGGAGGCTTGCGGCCTAGCCAAATGGCCTACGCCCCTCAGCATGAAGCGGTCAAATGCGCACACTTGGGAAGTGTTAATTTCTGGCGGTGCAAGACTGACATGAGATGACGTCTGCTGAGGTCAGCAGTGTAAACAAGGTGGCCTTTGGCGACAACAGTGGCGCTGGGAGTGTCAAACCTGAACACCTTGAATCTGCTGACCAAAGAGGCCGCTGATGTCTCAAGCAAAGAAGTGACTGCTGTTGAAGATCTGATAGGTGCAGCTGGGCGCAAGTACATTGGGGCGCCAGACCGTGCTGAAGGTCGGCAGTCTGTGCCAGGCAGCGGCATGTCGCAGGCCTGCAACATGAAAGGGAGACGCGTGCAGCAAAGAAACTTAGCGGGCTGGAGCTCCTAGCTGGCTGCTAGCCAAGTAACATTTAAGGCAACCTGAAAATGCTCGGAGTGGCCAACAAGTTTTGTTGCGCAACTAGATGCCTCACTGTCTTGGGGAAACTGCATCTCTTGCATCAGTGGTTTGTTTTGACTGCCATCGTCTTGCAGAGACCCGGTGCTGCCTTCAAAGCCTGAAAAGCTTGTGAATATTCGTGTCGACTTGTGGTCTGAGTTCTTCCGCTGCACTTTGTGCTAACTATCCGAACTATCCGCAGTATCACACCGCACCGCATGAGGGTTATCGTCTTCATCAAAGAAGTGCATACGATCTGCCTGGAAACCTTGATAGTGATCCTGAAGGGGCGCTGCTTCCCAGTCGTGCTTGTGGCATGCGTCAGCTTTCGGCTGAACATCTTGTTGTTGCTGCATGCGAGCAGGTTGACGAGATTGCACCTCAGAAGCAATCATTGCCTGTGCGGGACGCCAGTGATTGCCAACTGGCCATGAACTCAGGTTTGGGGCCGCGACATTGACAAATCCGGTGAGAGACAACATCTCAAGGAGAGAGCACGGTTGCAGGCCATCGGCTGCCTTAGTCTTTCCGCTAGGTGAATGGCCAACGGGAGCCATGCCATTCAGAACAAGGCCTGTAGCGAGTCATGCTGGCATATGCTGGCGCATCCGGAGCAGAAAGAACCCTAATCCAGACACACCTTACAGCATCAAGAGGAATTCCTGCCAGACGGTCTCAAGCAGCTAATGCCCCAGGCTAGATACCAGGTCGGGCGTGCTTCCAAAATGGAAGCTCGTCACTGCAACCCAAACGGGTCTCTGGTGGAAATGTCCTCGGCGCAAAAAGCGCTGTCGTCATTTGAGACATGGCCTGATTTTCAACAAGTATGCTTGGCCGAAAAAGCTGCTTGCAGAAGGGCTAGCGCTACCGGCGCTACCGCAGCGATTGAATATGATTGAATGACCAGCTCAGCTGAACAGCATGTTTGCATTCAATTGGCTACGCCTGCGCTGTGCCCATTGGGAGGCATCCCAGCAGCGCATGCTGAAACTGGGATTGCAGAAAGGCTTGTTCAGCCAGGAGCGCATTCGTAGCCTCACGTGCTGTTACGTTACATGTGACACCAGCAGTCGTGCAGGAGCGCTCGGCTGATGCATCTGTGCCAACAAAGGCTCAGAAGGCCGGATTCGCTGCAGGCGTTGGATTAACCAGGAAACAGGCCTAGTTTGGCATGAGATTCGCATCCTGGTTTCAACTTTTTTGAAGAGCTCAAGAGGGCGAGTTGGGTGACCTACCAATCGCTATTAAGATTCTTGGTCACTCCGACATGTCAGTGGTGTTGTATGAATGCGTGCAAGGGCGACGTCCAAGAAACAGCGGCACAAGCAGAAAGAGCTAAATAATGAGGAGGCGCCACTCAAAAGCACCGGCACGATCAGCAAAATAGATCCATCTCACTAAAAAACGCAGCAAGGGCCTCGATCAAACACCGCCGCTAAGCTAAGCCCCAAAGCAATACCGGGAGCTGGGGTGGGTCGTGACACTGTCCGCTTCGGGCTGTGTTTCTGCTTCTCCTCGCATGAAAGCGGTAGGCTGTTAACTATGGAACCGCATGTGGAAAAGGTGGATCTGACAAAAAAACACAATACCACTCGCGCTATGCCTCTTCATGCAAATAATCTGAGTGTTGTGTGTTAATCTAATATGACTGGGGCTGTGCTTGTCCATGCTTTTGAATGTGACCGGGGTGAGCTTTAAGATCTTGTGTGTGTGTGTGTGTACAACCCTGTGATCCAAGGGAGAACGTTTTTTCCACGTTTCTATGTTCACATGTTTACAAGCAGGGGGCAGAGGCGCCCATACAGACTCCTCTGCTAACAAAGCTGGTCTGTAT